TTTTTTTTTTTTTTACTTTTTGGAAATGGTAACAAATTTCATAACCAATTTAAAAAAAAAAAATTCACTTTAATGGACAATTTTTATGTAAAATAAAGCCAAACAAATTGTATTCGGTATGGTAAAAAAAATTCAAAGTTTTTTTTTAACTTTTTGGCAATTGGAACAAATTCTAGACCCAGTAGTAGAAAAATTATCACTTTAATTGATACTTTCCATGAAAGATGAAGTCAAACGAACACCAACTTTCAACATTTTCCATGTGAAATTATACCAATCAAACACAATTAATTAAAATTCCTAGTAAAACACTTTCTAGGCAATTCAATTGCTCGTAAAATATTTTCTTTACACTTATTTTCCACCGTTACAATCAAACGGATCCTTAGAGATGAAAAAAAAAACTTTTAGGAGAAAAGATGACATGCTCAAACTTTTATTCAAACTGATTTATTGAAAATGAGTACAATCATTAATTTTTTATAGGCTTTACAAAACATGAATTTAATCTATTAATACATATGCCAATTACGAAATACACATTAATTCTCAAAATAATTCGTGTAACTTGTTCGATAAAATTTCACAAGGTTACATAATCGTTAACAAGTAATAGTTTAAAGAAAATAACGTGTATCGTTCCGGCCACGAGAATTAAGCTTTTAGCTTCAATTCTATCAATTAGTGATAAAAAAACAAATGAGAACACAACATTAAAGATTTGATATTTTGATTTAACAATTACTTAAAAAATTTATGTGAGCAAAACATGTTAGAAATCCGACACCACCATTAACTTCCGAAAACAAAACAAATCACTTATATATTTAAATGGTAATCAAGCATTATAAACATGTATCAATCAACAAATCATAATTAAAAGAAAAAGTCTTGTATAATAATAATAATAATAATAATAATAATAATAATAATAATAATAATAATAGTTTACATCATCATCCCAACACTAATTAATATAGCTCACGACTCTGCATGAAGAAATCTCTTAGATGGGCATAAAATATTGCCTTATCCATTTTGCTCCTCGTTTAGATTTTTCCATGCAACTCCAATCCTCCCAATTGCAATTGAAACCTTGTCTTCCAAATCATGTCATTTTGGTCCCCCACTTCTAATTTATGCACAATTCACGTAATTTTCTTCCATTTTTCGTTTATTTTCTCCAGAAGCCTTCTAATCATTGAATTTTTCCTAAACAAAGACAAATAATATATACACAATATTAAGTAATAATTTTCGAAAGTCACTCCCAAATATCCACTTTTGATGGTCTAAATAAGTGTAAAAATTACACTTATCAAGTACCTACAAACTTGGACATTTTTCTTGCTCAAACAGAATTATATACTTAATCAAAAAACAAACACGATATAAGTATTATAGTTAGATAGTTTGTCACTTTGCCTCATGTTTTAAAATTGTATGCATAACTTATGAAAGGCTTCAAAATTATGATAACAAGACTAACCTCAACTTATTAAACGTTAAATCGGCATGTGGTGTAGTCAACTCAATCACTATAAACTCATGAGTTGATTCAATCCAAACCCTCGATAGTCAAATATATCATTTCGCTCCTTAAGATGCATACCGTCAAACTTACTCTTTAAATTCTCAATTGGTGTGTTTATTCTAAGGTTAAATCACAATCATTTCCCTCTATAGTTTAGATGGATTTTACCAATGAAAGTCATTACTTTGACATGTGATGATTGTTCTATATTGTGATCGTTAACGAAGGCTGAACAACGAAACTCCCAAATCGCAACATTGAAACAAAACCAAATTGTTGGTTTGGGTCCCCGTAGATTCGTCAATGTTTTGATTTTGAATCAAATCAAAATGCTTCGAAATAGTTTGATTTAGGTTTCAATCTTTACAACTCATTTCAAATTGTCAAATCGTATACAAAAATATCTAAAAATAAATTAGTTTAAATTTTATCCAATTCAATTAAAATTAAACACATCCCAATTAAAAAAAGAAGCATCCATAGTAGACCTAACCCAATTAAACTCAATACGTAAATAGAAGATTACAAATCTCAATTAATTAATTAAATCATACTCAAATATTCATCAGTCATCACAATTGTAAATGTTTAAACCCTCAAATTGGCTGAAGTGCTGAACAACTACTGCTTAAATGATATAAAACAATTGTGGATGTTGCGCCAATTAGTATCAACTATGATGTTAAAATATTTCTATCACGTTATTGTGTTATAATGATTAGAATTATAGATATTTGATTTGTATTAGTTTTAATGATACTATTTATGTTATAACTTGAAATTTTAAACTAATATTTATGATTTAACTTAGTCGGTATAAATTATTTTTTGTTTGTTAAACAGTTATTTTAAACTGAACCAAATAGAAAAAATGTTGTTTGGGTTTGAAAAATTTTCACAAACCACCCAAATCGAACATTGTCCACCCCTAGTCTTTACTTTCAAGCTTTTCCTAAGCTAATAAGTCCCCCTCCCCCACTGGAAATCAGCTCCCCAAGCTAAGATCTAAGGCTTAATCAGGCATATAGCGCGTCTTCTGTTTCATGCACTTATTTTTCTCAAAATTGTTATGTGTATTCTATTATGCACTAGATATGATCCCTTTTGAATTTTTTTTTTTTTTTTTTTTGAGATTTTTAATAAGTGTCCTCATTGCAATCTTTTATAAGAAAGCTCATGAAAATGTAGTACAAAATAGAAAATAGTGATTATATTGGCACCCCAACTTTTACTCGTTGCGCGATATTTAAGTTACGCACAAGGTCTTCAAACATTATTTATTGTAGCACTTATTTATCTGATTGTTTTCATCGAATTTTTATT